AGACAATACTCTGTTTTTATTTTTTTTTTTAGACTTTCTTCTTCTTCGATGTGATAACGACTAGTTCAAACTTTCTAAACTACTCCTGCTTGCATTTAACTAATCTTGCATATGATTAATCTAATGCTTAAACGTAACTTTTGACTAACTTCATCGAACCACAATTACTATTTTGATCAGTTGCCTCGTCGTCACACTTTAATATTTTCAACAGCTCAAATATTGCTTAATTTAAGATTGAGCTTAAGACAATAGCAAATTTCTTGCACAACTTTTTCGCTAACTTCACATAGTTCATATTAAAGTTCGATTAGATCTAAAAAATACCGAAACTGGTGCTGCGAAATAGCCATTATTAAATATTAATTTACACCCAGAGCGTTAAACAAACAACACGTAATGCTAACAACAACAACATTAACTACAATAATTGATATCTGCATCAGGTCTCGAGTCAATCAACAGCTGCGACAAAGGCGACAGCTAAGGCCCCTGGCATATTCCATACTTCTATAATATTGCATACCCTATACCCATGAAAAATGTGTGGAAAAACTTGCAGAAATCCACTAATGAAAGAAAATACTGTTGCGAAATTGTGAGATATATATATTAATATTAGAGAATTAGAAGCACACGCTTAATTTTCTGAATATCGGTACAAAATATTGGATTTTTAGAGCGATAAATGCATAGCAGTAACAGTTGCAATAATGTTAATAATATTTTCAGTAACTGTACTGGGTGCAGGGTATCTTTTGGCTATGCAATACATTCGAACTTGCCTTTTCATGCGCATTGAAAATTATTAAATATTAATTACAACGAGCGTATAAAACGTGCCGTGAATTAAAAATTTAAATATTTTACATAAAAAAATTGATTTCGTAAAATTAAAAATGCATTTAAAATAACATTTGGCGATAAAAGATTAATTAACTGCCGGCGAGGAAGTTTTAGCCCGGCCCCAAGCCCCTCGGCTTTTGGCCAAGCTAAGTACATTGTAGAATCAAGGCGTGTTAGTGGCAGCTACAAAATGCCAATTAAAATTAAATAAATGAAATCCGAGCAGCAGCAATGCTGAAATATTTTTATTTTATTTTTTTTTTCTATCTGGGCTATAAATTAAGGCTCTAAACGATTTTCAGCTGCAATCGCGGCGTGGCACTTGTCACCAGTCATCTAGTTTGGGGCGGACTGGGGGTACGGCCGTCTAATTTAACCTTTGACCAAATGCCGCTACCACCAAATTGCCTGTGCCACATGTGCGTTACCCATTTGGTTTTTTTTTTTTTTTACATTGAGGCGTGGCAACGGCAGCGGCAGCAGCAACAGCAGCAGCAGCACGCGCAGCAAGTCAACGTCAAAAGACGGAAATGTTTCAGGCTGCCGACGCGACAGTTTGTTAGAAGGGGGGCGGAATAAGGGAGTAGGCATCGCACATAATCCTGGGTTCTTTGTAAATCCAATATGACTTTCTCAGTCAAGATTTCGGGGCCTATGGTGTGTTTACTAATAGACAAAAGCTACCGCCTGACAAGCTACAATTCGTGACGGAATTGAGAAACAAATGAGTGCACAACGAAGTTGCAACACTCTGTCGAAGGAACCTTTTGAATAACTTCAACGAAAATTAACAAATTAAACGACATTCATATCATTTCCAATCTAAGCAAGTAATCAGAGACAGGATTCGATCTCATTCACCAAGATCAGTTTGGGATTTACCATTCCCTCTTTAAAGCAAATTGCTTATACTCTTAACATTTGAGCCTTGTGACATAAGTGAATAACCCAAATGTTAGCGAGAGTATCACAGACAACCAAAAGCAGTGCCGAAAAAATGAAACTGGAAGTTGTAGAGCGTAAGAAACTGCGTGGACGGCATTTATAATAATGTGACTTGGGCAGCACCAAGTTGACTTTGGGCAACAAAGTAAGGTGCGGCTGCGGCAGTGCGGAAAAACTGAAAATCGCTGCAACAACTAAAACAACGGCAACAACAATAACAACAACTGCAGCGGCAACGAAAATGAACTGGAAAACGCGTTTAATTGAACCAAAGCTTGATGACTGCCCACTAGCGCCATCTAGCTGCGTGCGGCTGCACTAAGCCGGCTTGGCAAAACTTGTTGTTGTCGTTGCTGTTGCTGCTGCTGTTGCTGCTGCTGCTGCTGTTGTTGTGGTTGTTAACTTGTTGCTGCTGCCGTGGTAGACCCGAAATGGATGATTCATCGGGTTGTTTGTTGTTTTGAGTGGTTTTCGCCGCCCCGTCGCAAGTCTCCAATGCTCCAAAATTGCTAGACGTTTGTCGTACTTCGTTGTTGTTGTTCTTGTTGTTGTTGGCGCTTGCCGCCCGCTGTTGCTGGTGACGCAGTTGCAATTGCAGTTGCAGCTGCGCCAATTCTCCTTCGTTTGCCGTTTGGCGCTTTACGTTCAAAACAATTATTATTCTGGCAATTAATTTTGATTTAAGCAGCGATTTGATATTCCGCTCTATCCGTATCCAACCAGCCAGCCAGTCAGCCAGCCAGCCAACCAGCCAGCCACCCACCGATGCCCAGCACCGCCACCCGCTGCTACCAGCAACAGCAGCAATCTGTTCGATGCCGGCCGCTTTGTGATTCGCCAAATTTGCGAATCAGCTGCAACTTTTTTATGCGATCGATAAATAAAGAGACACCTACGGTTCACCTACCGAGACACCGATCGATGGCATCGCTTCGACTTGTCAGCAAATGAGCATCCGCATGCAATCGTATTAGACATTGACTAACCACATATGAGCTTTGTGACTCTGCTTGTTTCCACGGGCTATAATGAGGCTGAGAGTGAGGCTTTTAGTTTTAAGTTCAGTAAAGCTATCGCATCCTTTCCACATTCTAATAAAACAGTATTATCTAAACCACTTTTTTATGCCATGACAACAATGAATAGTGCATAATGTAACACGCAGAATGAGTATATATAGAATATATAGTAAATATTCTTCTGGAAAATAAGGTGAGTCGATCTAGACTAGTGCTTTTGCCGAAACGCGAGAATCTCGAAAACTGCAATGGCTAGAGAAATATATATTTCCGTATACGACACGAAAAAAGAGTTTATCGCTTGATATATACAATTCCTTTTTAAGTTGCATAACAGAAGGCTTGAATGCTTGGAGCAGCAGGTTGGCGCTGGGTTTATGGTATCTCCTAGTCGGGCTAGCTAACGACTTGAGGAGTCTTACTTGTTTCCAGGCTATTTATTCCATGTCTTTCCCTTTCCTTGTGTTGTATATATTTTTAATATTCTATTGTTGTCCATACTTATGTACCCTTATTTTAAAATATTCTTTCAGGTGACTTACGGGAAATCTTCGACCAAGCCCAACTGGGAAGCGGTCATAGCTGGCTAGACAGGTAAGTGATGTGATATTATTATTATTATCTATTATTTATTCTATTATTATTATCATAAAGTTTCATTTAGTTTTTAAAAAGGTTTTGTTTCCTTTTTGCTAAAGACATATAGCATAAGTCGCAAGCCTGCGTAACTACAGTTACAAAGGGCGCAAATTTAATCGATAATCTCCGTTATGAATTTTCTATATTTTTCAAAAAACGTGAACCTATTTTGTTTTCGGGTTGCCAGCATCCTCTGTCGTAATTGCAACAGAAAATGTTGCATTTCCTCACCCCACAACAGGGCGTTGGCATTACTAAGCCCCACAGAGATTAAATTTACACAAATCGTACGGCCAATAGAAGCTCCCGAGAAATTGTGTGCACGTGGTATGATGAGGATATTTTGGTAGAAAATAACAGTGAGCTGATCTAAAGCATATACAATATGCCCTACATATCGGTAGAGAATCAGTGACAGCCTTCGTTCTGTATCACTCAAAGTAGTGCTAGCTAGCTATAGTCAAAGGGTCTGACGAAAATACAATATTAAAGCGAGTACTTATGACACGCAACAACAATATGGAAACAAAATACTTAAACTGACATACTCTGAACTCATTAAAATGTAGTAAAAAGAAGTATATTAGTTTTGTGCAAATGCATGTAAAAGGCAGCAGGATATATTTCCGATACTTTTATATACACCATTTTCACCAGGTCGACTCGCTGAATAGATCTAATCGTGTCCGTCTGTCCTTCCATCTACCCATCTGCCTGCATCCAGACTTCAATCGGATGCAGCATTTAGCGTTTGCGCAGTGACAGTGAGCTAAAATATTTGCATGAACATCGCGATCTCTAAAATTACAAAAACTAGATGCAGACAATTTTAGATACCATACACAGCACGAGTTTATCATTTTTATAGATATCGCGCCCCATTTTTCGGCTAAAATTTTAACTTAGAGGAAGAATATTTTGAATAGAGGGAAGAGGTAAATTTTATAATATTCTGTTGTTCCATTTGGTTTTTTCTCAGTTTTATATTTATTTTAATTCATTAAAAACTAAACATACAAGAACTTGTCTAAATGAATAAATATAGTATTTATATATTTTTGCTCATATTTACACAAGTACAAATAAGGAAATAAATTAAATAATATTTTAATGCAAAAATAATCATAGTTATATGTGTATAAACATATTTTCTATCGAGCTATAAATAATCTCGCACCATTTCGATTTGTACACAATGAGTTTCAACAATAAATATACATGTAACAAGTTTTTAACAAAACATGAGTTAACAACAAATGGCTGCTCATCTGATGAAAATCCTTGACTTGGCCCTACGTATCTTACAAAATTAAATAGTTAATTTAAATAATATATATAAATTCTAACTTTTGGATACACTATATATTCCTACACTAGAAATGATCCTAATAGGCAATAAAATTGCCTTGACTAATTTTTGGCACTGAATTACTGACTTATTTCCCTGCTTTGGCTAAACTGTGAAACTGACTAAGACTTGGAGGTAGCCCCAAACTATCCTACAGTTGATTGTATATATATTAACAGATTTAAACGCTGAACTCATTTAATTTAGTATAAGCCCTGTCTGACCTGCGGTGGCATTTGAAATTCGTGTGCTTCCTCCTCCTCGCCGCCACTGCTGCCCACACTGCCCGCATAGTAGAGCTGATGAGACGACTCGTCATAGCCCTGCAGATGCTGCTGCAGCTGATGCTGATTGAAGCCCGCTGCCGCGGCGCCACCCTGTTCCGACTGGCAGCCGCTCTGCAGGTGCTTGGCCAGCAGGGACATTCGGGAGAAGGACTTTGTGCAGCTGGGGCAGGAATACTTCTTCACATCCGAGTGCGTTTGCATGTGCGCCCTCAGATTGGATCGATCCGCAAAGGCACGATTGCAGTGCTGGCAGCTGAAGGGCTTCTCACCCGTGTGGGTGCGTATGTGACCCTGCAGCAGCCAGGGCCGCGAGAAGGCCTTCCCACATATGGGGCACTTGCATGGCAGCGTGTGGGTGCGGATGTGCATCTTGAGTGCGCCCAGCGACACATATGTCTTTTCGCAGTTCTTGCAGCTGAAGACCTTCTTCACCTGGTTGCCCTCCGCTGAGGGACAGTGGAACTGCTGGTGTTTGCTGAGGCCCGAGTAGGTCGAATAGGATTTGCCGCAGTCCTTGCAGTGATAGCGCGGCACGCCCACCGGCTTCTGCATGGACTGCGCCGAGGCGACATTCGCTGCTTGTATGAGGGCTGAGGCTTGATCCGTGCAGAACTCGGTTTGATCCACAATGGGGCCACCGCTGGGATTGCTGCGTATGATCTTGTACTCGGTGCTCTCGTAGGCATGGCTCTGCTGATGCTTCACGAGCCCCGCGTAGGTGGCATAGCATTTGTTGCACTGCTGGCACTGATAGTACAGATCGTTGCTGCTCTTAATCTTCAAATTCAACTGATTCTCATTGTTCTCTTGGTTCTCCAGGTCCTCCTCCTGCTCTAGTTGATGTGGCGCGACCTTCAAGCTCTGCGGCTGCGGCAGCTGTGGCTGTGGCGCCGCTATATGCTGCATGCTGAGCAGCGCACGTGCCACATTGTGTAGATTGACGTTCTCAGTCAGACCACGACGCTGCGGTTCCTGCTGCTGATGCGGGGCTAGCTCCGGTCGAACACTCAAGTCCTGTGGCTCCGCTGCCAGCTGGTAGCGCTCTGGCGGTGGCGGGTGGTGCTCAGGCATTGGCAGTTTCATGCAATCCTCATACTCCGCAATGCTTTTCAGCAAGTTGTTGTTGTAGTTGCGCAAACCAAAAGGCTCCTCTGCTTGCTCTGCTTTAACTGATGCTGCGGTTGCCAATGGTGGTGATATACTTGCATAGCTGGCAGCCATTTCAGAGTCACGTTCGTGCTCCGGCTCCATGACCTCGTCCTCTGGCGGTAGTTCAAAATCGCCATAGCCCAGGCGCGCCAAACTCTTGGCAATCTCCTCCCGCGTAAAGACATCGGGAAAGGCGCGTGCTATTTCTCGTGTCTCCTCCCAAATGCGTCGCGCTAGTTGCTCCTTGGTTTGTGTCATGGCCTCGTCGAAGCGTCGGCGAAGCTCTGTGGTTACCGGCTGTGGCTCCGGCTCCGCTTTGATCGACCAGTGAGGCGGCTCTAGGGGCACCGAAGCTGCAGCCACGCTAAGATCCACGGGTCCCTCATCTGAAGACAGCGTAATAGAAGGAGGAGTTGGGTGTTAAGTTTGATAAGAAAACTTTAATCTCTAGAAGAAATAGATAGAAACCTACCATGACACAACTGATCCTCATGCGGTGGCTCCTCGACGAGTATGGGTCGCTTTTTCAGCGGGCATTTGCTGTACTTGAGTTTATCCATATTAGCGCGAGGAATCACAATTTTACAACACTTCAGCACTGAGGATCACAGCTATCTTGTTTCTAGACTCTTGTTTCCAACTAAACTTTCAATCACTGGAGCTGATCATTTGCTGCGCGCACGCGTCTCGATCGTTGGCCGTTCCGTATACGAATGATGCAACCGCCGAGGATCACTTTAATTTTATATAGACTTCACAGCGCAGGATCAACCCCCAGCCAAAAGTGAAGCGCAGCAACCCCCTTGAGTGCCAAAAAGGATCTGCTACCTACTTCCGATTTCTGTCACGGGGGATTCTGTACGGAAATCAACCACCACGAGCCAACATTCAATGATCTTGCATAGCTCCGCAGTCAACCCTCCATCCCTTGCCCAGCCACGGATTGTCGCCTGCCATAACAGCTGTGCCGTTCATTGAACGTTGCTCCAGCTGCAGATCGCAGCGGCACATTGCCACCGCCAACAAATCTCTGTTCAAAAAGCGAGCACGTGCCATACACAGCACTCACACACACACACACACACACACACACACACACACACACACACACACACACACACACACACACACACACACTCTCACACACCGGTTGCCGGCTCTCTTCTCTCTCCCTCTGGCACACCAGCGCAACCGATCGCCACCAGCTGCCACTGAGATTTAATTTTATACGCTCAAATTTCCCCTACTTTATGCGTGAGTGTGCATGTGTGTGTGTGTGTTCGTGAGCGTGAGCGGCAGCTGCGGAGCTTATGTACAACTTGAAGCGCAAGTTTATTTTTAACTCGCAGCGAGGTGCTGTCTCTGTCAGCGTTGACGATCGGCTGGCGAGCTTATGTACACGACGAGCCACACAGACACGAAGGCAGCGCTCTGCGAGCAGGTGAGCTGCTTGCCAGTCGCTCTTTGATTGTAGCAAAGAGCAGCTTAAAGCGATTGGCGCTCTGCAGATATTGGGCTCTCTTTGGCGCTCTTGTTTCAAATTTCAATCGTTGCGCTGTGGCTTTTGTGAAGTTCTTAAAGAGCGCAGCCGATACGTTTAAGCCAGTGATCTTTTTGGCCAGTTTCAGTGCTCTTGCAGGCCTTAAGCTGCTTAAATCAGCGCTCCTCCACGGTCAACTGCACGATCAGCTTTGCGTCCACCAAGAACAGCTTAGCTGCAGCTTTCGATTTAATAGTCTGCGAGTGGTTTTAATCTAAGCTTTTCTACTCGATTAAACTTTAGAAAACCACTCAAGGCTGATATTTTGATATGTTGGGAAATATCGTACTTTCAGCCAGAATTAAAGTTCTTACAGCCTTCTAAACAATACCCAAATACTCAACGGCTTCTGACAGGCATTCAAAAATATTAATGACTGAAACAAACAAGCCGAGGATCTAAAGTAAATCAACAGCCATTGTACAGCCTTGTCCCTCGCTCCTCCATCTAGGTGCATTATAGCAATAACAACAATTCCCTAACGGCCGTGTAATTTTTGAAATTGTTGTTGAAAGTTGGTCTGCCAGCTGCCAGTTTGAGAAACCTCCACTTTGAGCCTTCCATATGTACACGAATATCTATGGGGTGGCTGCGCCGCCGCATTTTACCTGGTCGAGCTCGGCAAGAAGTACCTTGGAATGCGCCAAGAGGTATGTGCAAAACTACCTGGCACTTTCAACGTGCTCGTGCCGCCTGTGCTGCCCCGTGCTGCAGTTGGCCCACCCCAATGGAACGCAGAGCATCACCAGCCAGCCGCCTGGTGGTTGTTGTTGCTGTGGTGGTGCTGATGGTGGTGGTGAAATTGCAATCCGAACGTTACTTTCGAGCCAACCCTTAGCCACGAGCAGCGTCTTGGCATTGATCTTGGTTGAAATCTCAGCACAACAGAGGGTTGTCCCGTGCCCCTGGCCTGCACACAGCTGCTTCTTCGACACGTACCAAGCAACTGATTCTGCAGACTAGTGATTCCTTACAGAAATTGGCGCCAAAGTCCTGTAATGAACCGGTGTGTCCTGACCATGATAGGTGATCTCTGTTATAATAACAATACTGCCGATTGAAGACAGAACAACTCATTGTTGTGCAGACCGAATACCAATGTCTTTAAATGATTCTTCGTGAATTGATGTTAAGTGAATTTAACGACCGCCCGGCATCCCAGCATGAGACAGACCTAAGTGGAAATCTGGGACCATTTTATCTATGTCCTATTGATCGCTTGATCAACTCACCTATTGAGGAAGCTTCTACCATACACGTCTTTAATACAGAAACTTTGTTCGGAAAATGTAATTGGTACAATTTGCTTTCTATTTGATCGCGATATGCAATAATAATATTTATAGAATTAAGGAAGCTTTTGGTTGAAACGAACCAATTGGAGCCTGCTATCACAAATATATATAAATTGAAGCAAACCAAGAACTCAATCCATAATCAAAGCACTTTTTCATCAAAACAAAAATGGTTAAGAAAACCATAGTTCAAATCGTAAGCCGAAACCTAAGAATTATTCGGTTATTATTTGTTTATTTAATTATAATAATTGTTGATCGCAGACATTTATAGATATTTTGGACTTTTGCTAGCGTAATTTAAAATCAACTTTGATCAATCCAACACAAAAAAACCCTAGCCTAAATAATCACTTGATGTACATTTGATTGATTCATAAAGTACATCCATGATCAGCTCAATATTATCTGTTGACAGTACATATTGAGAAAAGATATTGTAAAGAGTCTTCAGAGTGTGAGCTCTCTCTCGAAAGCTTTAAATTGGCTGCTATTCAGGCAATGATAACATTTCTCTGTCATCTTTGACCAAGTGCAGCTCCAGTTGCTCGTCAGCGGACACCAAGGCGACCTAACTGCACATCAGCTGGCAGCCAAACCGCAAACTGCCAACTGCAAACTATAGCTATGTGGACTCACTCTAGACTCGGCTCAGATGCAGCTGAGTGCCTCACTTCAAAGTGTCAAAGAGCCGCCAAAGTCGCATAATGAAGTGCAAAATGTCATTAATTTGCCGTTGCTGCAGCTGCAGCAGCAGCAACTGACAACAAAAGAAAGTCGCCGGATGGATAGGAAAAGTGTAAGAAAACTATGCAGAAATGCAAAACCCAATACCCAGCGCGCATGTACAGGAGGGGAAGAATGGTGGTGGTGGTGCTGTTGCATGCCACACGCCGCCGCACAATGTCACGAGTTATAGATTTCTCAAGCCACTGAGCAAAAGAATGCGCCGACCATGGCGGCAACGCGGACTGGACGGCAATCAAAACAAGATCTTAGAACTATTGGCGCCTGATCTACAGACAAAGCGGGTGCAGGGCAGCTGGCCATAAACGTGGACGAAGAGCAGAAGGAACAACAACACAGAACGGAGCCGGAGCCGGAGATGGAGTTGGAGACGCAGATGGAGATGGAGACCGAGATGGAGACCAATGAACAGAATGTCCAGGTCAGTGAACATTAATGACGCCGCGGTGGGCAGCAGTCTATTGAAATCTGATATTGTTATCAAAGCTAACGGTAATTATAAACAAATAAAAGCACAACAACAATAAGAGCGCGACTGCCCGACATCAGCAACAATATTGTAACGTAAAGAACACACAGCAGGCCCGCAACTTGGGCGACTATGTTGTCCCGCTTCCGACGCCGCATATATTAGCAAAGTTAGAAGCTACGTCTATAATTCAAACTAATTTGTTTTATTGACAGCGTGTGCGCCTTCCATATGCGTAGTCATCGATAAGGCTAACACACACACAGGCAGGCACGCACACACAAATTGGTCAATTATGAAATGAGCCAGGTCTAAAGACCCATTCGGGCCAACACAGAAAGACTGCGGCGTGCTTCTTTAGGGGACGGGGGATTCAAGTGACAATAAATTAAATTTGTTGTCCAACTAACTAATTAAAATGCGCTTCTAGAGTCTCTCGACTTTATTCTCCTCATGGCTCTTGAGATATTAATCTGCTTGGGAAGCTTACTGTCAGAGCTCTATGAGGGGAATGGGGGACCACCCGCTCAGTTGTTGGACTCAACATCCATCGGTAGCTCTCATCTTGACTAATACGAATTATAATTTCCAGCTGGTGATTTTATTTAATTTTGTCCATAAATGAATCACGATAATGAATTGTTTATGCGGCGAGCTTCAGTTTTTTTCGAGAGTTACGAGAGCTTCATGGGAAAAAGAGATTAACATCAACGTTTATGTTAATGCATGTTGAAATATCATAAAAATAATATAGTATTCGCCGCTTCAGCAATATTTTCGGCGCTGATTCACTTGCAAATATGCAAAATTTATCTTGTTTTTTTTTTTTTGCAAAATTTTACAAAGTTGGGTTAATGTACTTGCCATGTCTTTAATTTCCTTATCAATGGTAAACATCCTCCTGGCCGTTCAGATATTTGGCATGCGTTAAGTTGAAGGGCGCGCTAAAGTTCAAGTTCGTCGTTTTTCGGCAGGGCGAAAAGCTTGTTTTAATCTGCAGGTAAATAATTGAACTGTATTCTTTGTAAACGAGTTTATAAAGAGTAGAGAATACTCTGCAGCATAAAATATCACAGTCTGTTCTTCAAGGTTCGGTTCACACACAAACTTCGCAATTTATTCAAAATTTTTTTCAAAGGCTTTCTTATGATAAGTCTCATCTAAATGATATGTGTCACATAATTACTTCTGAAATATTGAAATAGAAAAAAATTGGTTACTTTTGGCGATATATTATTTTGTAAAATATGTAAAAATTGTAAATGATTTCTACTTTGGAAACTCACTTTATTGAACTCTAAACCGCACATTCAACCCCACTTGATTAAACATATTGTAATCAATTAAGGCCAAATTGCGACTGAAACTAATAGGTAGCACTCCTTAAACGCAAAATATCCAATTATAGCCCATCAATTGAGCGCCTAATAGAACAATTCAATCGAGTGCAAATGTTCCCATGACCAGACACATTTACACTTGCAGACGTCGACGCCCAGCGACCAGCAG